TATACCAGCGCTCAATTTTCATGGATAGATAAAGAAATACATACTTAACACGCTCTTACGAATAACTATCGCTTTAAAAAAAATGATAACGATGGGCAAAGTGGACGGAAAGAGACGTGCTGGGCGAAGAAAGAAGTCATGGCTCCGGAATATCCGGGAGTGCACCGGTATTGCCTCCGTCGAACAGCTGTTCCGGCTGGCTGCTGATAGAGATGAATACAGGAAGCTAACGGCCAACCTTCAGGATTGAAGAGGCGCTGGAAGAAGAAGAATAAAAAAATACATCACAGCATCATACTCGCAAAACTTAGAAACATACCTGATTAAATATTTCGTAACTATCGTTTAAAATTTGGAAGAGCCTAAACAACAAATAATTGAAGAATCCGCTGTTTTGCAAATAAATTTTTATGAGTGCTTGATATCATTACATCAACAACTGCTTGAAGATGTCACTAGAAAGAAATTCTCTTTCTTTGATATTCAAAACAACGATTTACGTCTTTCTACAAAGAACATTTACTATTGTTTGAAGTGTTTGAATTTCGAGTACTGTAATTTATGTTGGTTCGTAGGTTGGTGGAATGCACTAACAGAGGTTTTTTTGTGAGAAAAATATTTATTTCCTATAGTGGCGTCGGATGACAAAAACTTTAGTGGTTAGGAAGCGCGCGGCGTTCGTTGGTTTGGTAACAGCACTGACTTCGTTCACCTCAGGTCATCGGTCCGAGGCCCCCTCACCTCTCGTTGAACCCCGCGCACTCCCTCTTACAAATCTTGTTAATTTAAAACTAAGCTAAAACTTTTGTTAACTTGTCCTAACAAAACAAATTCACCATACAAACAAACATACACCAAATATACTAATCACAGCTCCAAATTTATATTTAACGCATCGCTAACAAGTACAATTTGGCTATGACATAATTTTTCGAACTGAACTTTCAGTTTCCACCTAAAAAAAGCTTTCCTTTGTTTTTAAAATAAAATAAGGGTTTAATTTTACGTAAATAGGTTTTAATCTTATTTCAAGCTAGCGACCCGCCCTCGCTTCGATTCTGAAACTGTAATTTATTATTGATTTCTCCACTATTTAATGGATGTTATTATACATATAAACCTTCCTCTTCAATCACTCTATCTATTAAAAAAACTGCATCAAAATCCGTTGCGTAGTTTAAAGATTTAAGCATACACAGGGATATAGGGACAGAGAAAGCGACTTTGTTTTATACTATGTAGTGATTAATCATCACATAAATGCCGTCACCCAATCGAGGTGTGAGGTTAAAGTTTTAATTGTATTGCATATCAGATGTCGAACAGCATCCAACCGAAATCCATGACTTCTTCTCTGAAAAATAGAAAGGAATGCGGTACTTACCAACGGACTCACAATATATTTACTGGTGGTAGGACCTCTAGTGTGTCCGCGCGGGTAGGTACCACCGCCCTGCCTATTTCTGCCGTGAAGTAGTAATGCGTTTCGGTTCGAAGGGTGGGGCAGCCGTTGTAACTATACTTGAGACCTTAGAACTTATATCTCAAGCTGGGTGGCGCATTAACGTTGTAGATGTCTATGGGCTCCAAGTAACCACTTAACACCAGGTAGGCTGTGAGCTCGTTCACCCATCTAAGCAAAAAAATAAATTAAAATAAAGCCCTAACACTTACAATTCCTGGAAATACATAATTATATTCGTACGTATTTTCATAATAAGCTTAACCCTTGTTTACGGTACTCGGGAGTGCCACAATACTTGTTTGTTCTTTAAGAGCACATAGTACGAATATCATCTCATACCTTGAGATGTAAATTTGGAGTCAATTGACGTCTATTTCTTTAGAATCGAGACGACAACAACTAAAGCAGCTATAAGAAGCTTTTGGCAATTAAAAAAACTGACTACCATATCTATGTAGACAGACTTAAACCTATACTAAGTCGAAAAAGAAAAGGAGAAATGACAGATGATATTGACAAAAAAGGATGAAGAAAATGGATATGTAAAAGACTTTCATAAAAACTGATTGATGTTTAAAATAAAAGACAATATATAGATGAGCATGTTTTATTAAGTAAAGGTCTTTATTGGGTGACCAACGTACGTGATCTGAACGCGCAACATTTTAATGTTAAACTAAGAGTGTGTTTCTATTGCCAGTACCAATAGAAACGGGGTACTTTACACACGTGAACATTTATACCACAAACCACGAACCACGACTATGACAACTCTGCTCCTCCAGATCCAGCTGATAAAAGGTCAAGTGTGAACTTTGCAACACTCCAAAAGCTCTTTAAAAGTTTTAGAACATTTGCCTTCATTACAATTAAAATTTCAATCGTCCCAAGCTAAGATATTCTTGCATATTTTGGATACCACTGGTATGGGTACAACTAGTATCCAAAATACCTAATAAATGTATCTGGTATCATACCAGAACCACCTATGAGTCGAAATGAAGTCTACGCAAACAAAATAGAACAGATTTGTTACTTTGACCATATACCTGAAGATAGCTGGCCGTTGTAATGACCACGGTAACCCTTTGACATCCGGTGTATAGTGAAATAAAACATCTAACAGACAAACAGGATCATCTCTTCAGTTTTCGGTTAATCATTAAACCTCCTTCAAAAGGGCCTTGAGATTTTAAAAGCCACAATGATATATATTTTTTATTGTGCAATATTCTACTCTAAACTGAAACTTGGAACTCATGTCTTAAGGTGGATGACAGCATTTACGTTTTTGTTGTCTATGGACTCTGGTGACTAAACACCAAATAAGATGTAAACTCGTCCTATTATTTAAAGAATAGAAAAACCCGAAAACAACTTTCATACGTTCAACTTTGATACCAACGTCTCGTTTTTACCATCGCACCGCCCGCCACCGGAGTAGAGTTCATCCATACTACCTGGAGCCACTGCGGTCATCCACAGTGCGTTTCCAGAGGTCTTTTTTGCCACGTACCATCCGGCTATGGAATGAGCTCCCCTCCACGGTGTTTCCCGAGCGCTATGACATGTCCTTCTTCAAACGAGGCTTGTGGAGAGTATTNCCTGGAGCCACTGCGGTCATCCACAGTGCGTTTCCAGAGGTCTTTTTTGCCACGTACCATCCGGCTATGGAATGAGCTCCCCTCCACGGTGTTTCCCGAGCGCTATGACATGTCCTTCTTCAAACGAGGCTTGTGGAGAGTATTAAGCGGTAGGCAGCGGCTTGGCTCTGCCCTTGGCATTGCTGAAGTCCATGGGCGACGGTAACCACTCACCATCAGGTGGGCAGTGTGCTCGTCTGCCTACAAAGGCAATAAAAAAAAATACGAGGCTTGAAAAGATTTTGATTTTTTAGTGTCGCATCTCTATAGCATGACCTCAAAATCAATACCTTCCACTCCTTTGATGAGCGTTGGCTATTTAAATCACCTTTCTGATCAACAAGGAAGGTAATTGCGCTTTCAAGTGTGTCGGGTCTTTGTACTTTAAAGCTTCTTAAATTAGAGTTTTCGAGAATGACAAAACTCAACATAGCGTAAATAATAGTTTAGAACGAGTAACACTCACAACAAGTATGTGTGTAGTTGTATTTACTTCGTATGTGTGTTCGTTGTATGAATCACGGAACAATAGCCAATGGAGCAGTCCTCGAAAATTAATATTTTATGGGTTTTTCTTTGCTCTATAGAATTTTTTTTTCCTACCTAATCTGATAGCCTTGAGCGGCTATATCAGCGTCGTCTTAACTAGTAGGTGAGCTCAAGGGGCTCAAACCTGATGACGTTGCTAACACGAACCCTAGCAAGAGCCGTGCTTCGCGGAATCTACCACCGGATCGGAAACGCGACCCACAACGCAACTCAGTGGGCTGTATCAGAGGGTTAATTTACTCGTCGAGCCCTTCGTCGCAAGCGACGGGTTCGACGAGAACGGTGACCGGTGCTTGAGGTACCTAAAAACACCGTTAGTAGATCGGGAGGATCCGAAATGACGTGTTTGGGGTGACGTCGACTGCTTTCCATTCTTTTCGCAGGATCGGGACTGGCTCTATAGAATAAAAAAAACAGAATTAAATATGTTGTGGCTATCTGTAGATGAAGCCAACATAGATCGGTCCATTATGACATTTGAATAACCCAAAATTCCAATTTGGTTCCCGATCATTGTCAATGTATTTGGCTAATTTAATGTAATTTTAAAGCTTAGTTTTGGTCGGTCTATATCTAGATTCTACTGTACTAACATAGGGCCTTTAACTGTGGAACTTTTCGCCTGAATTTGAGAAAAGCAACGAAAATTTAAATCAAAAGCTAGTTGAAGATTTAGCTGACTGAACTTAAAGTCGATAGTGTGGGATTGCATAATATCATCATAATACGGGATGACGTTAATCACAAATCACGCTTAACCGGAAAGCTGCAACGTATTCCGGTTTAAACCAGTTTAACTCCGGTTTGAAATTCAAATCGCGTGCCGTACGCCCAAAACCGCTTGTCTGCCTGTCATTTTAACAATGTTATCAACGCTCAACTCTATCTGTATAATTAGCTGTATACATGGAACTGTTTGAATTTGGAACGAAATCTTGGAGACATAAGTTCCGGTTTCCACAATATCGACTATTTCATTTGTAATTGGTTACCAGATATGCTCATGAAAGACACTTGAGAAATATCACCGATATCTAACACAAGTATTTCACGTTGTTTTTATTTTATTGCTTAGATGGGTGGACGAGCTCACAGCCCACCTGGTGTTAAGTGGTGACTGGAGCCCATATACACCTACAACGTAAATGCGCCACCAACCTTGAGATATAAGTTCTAAGGTCTCAAGTATAGTTACAACGGCTGCCCTAGCCTTCAAACCGAAACGCATTACTGCTTCACGGCAAAAATAGGCAGACTGGCGGTACCTACCCGTGCGGACTCACAAGAGGTCCTACCACCAGTAATAAATTTCCTCATAAATTCGATATATCTTTTGCATCTAGGTGGTGAAGGCCAGGAGCACGGGCCAGTGTTCCTGATGGAGCCTCCATCGAAGCTGCTGTTCTCGAACACTACCGGAGCAAGGGTCTCGTGCGCTGCCCACGGCTTTCCATCACCGCAGATAGCTTGGCAGCTGCCTGATGGTACTCAGATGGACGACGTGCCAGGTTTAAGGTCAGTCGTGATATTTAAATCTATACGATCTATACTAATATATAAATCTACAGTGTTTTTTACGGATGTTCCGTTATAATTACTTAACCATGCATCCGATTGACTTGAAACTTGATATACATGTAGAAAATATATGTACTTAATGGATAGGCTAATATTTATATGGGTGTTGGACTCCCCACACCAGTTGCGGGGGCGTTAATGTTGAGAATCTTTGTGGGGGTGAGAAATAATAATGTTAGTTTTAAATCCCCAGCGAAGCGGACGGATACAGCTAGTAATTTTATAAGAATTTCAAAATGGAAGTTAATAGACTATTAATCATCACCTGGATATTGAAATTTAATTTTCTTTGCGACAGCTGTCTCGATTTTATGTTTCTATCTTTTCGGCTATTGCTAGTATCAGCGTTCATTAAAATGAAGAACATACAACTTGATATGTATAAGGCCTGTTTCAAATCTATCAACAGTACAGCTGAAGTAAATGTAATTTGATTTCTAGTTTTTTTTTTGTCAACATTCTTACAAACTTTTCAGATCTAAGATTCGATGAATACATAATTTTAGTTATTTATATAAATATTTTTGCAACTATAATAATGGAGTTAACTTTTTTGCGTATGTACGAAGTTAGGCACCTTTATAGGATTTAAATTGTTTATTAAATCAATATTCACAAATTTATTTATTTATAGTTTACAAAATTTTTGCATTAAATCTTATACACATATCTGTAAACTGAAATAAATTAAGAGTTAACTTAAAATTAGAATCGATCTGTTTTCTCAAACGTGTCAAAAGAAGTGTAATTTCAAAAATCAATTCAACAAACAAATTAATTAAAAAATACAGTTTTTTGATTTAAGCTTCACTTTGAATTATCACGTTTTTTTTTTATTGCTTAGATGTGTGGACGAGTTCACAGCCCACCTGGTGTTAAGTGGTTACTGGAGCCCATAGACATCTACAACGTAAATGCGCCACACACCTTGAGATATAAGTTCTAAGGTCTCAGTATAGTTACAACGGCTGCCCCACCCTTCAAACCGAAACGCATTACTGCTTCACGGCAGAAACAGGAGAGGCGGTGGTGCCTACCCGTGCGGGTTCAATAGAGGTCCTACCACCAGTAAAAACGTATCAAAATACTCACTATATCACTATACGTAATTCAAAATAAATAATCTTTCCGAATTTTGTAATTCTATGTGATAAATAAGTCATTACAGTATTATGAATTATATATGTATAATAAATGAATTAAATTCTGAGCGTGGATCGGATCTTTGAATACCAATGTCTTTAATTTAAATATGGCGCTAACGCATATACAAACNCAGTAAAAACGTATCAAAATACTCACTATATCACTATACGTAATTCAAAATAAATAATCTTTCCGAATTTTGTAATTCTATGTGATAAATAAGTCATTACAGTATTATGAATTATATATGTATAATAAATGAATTAAATTCTGAGCGTGGATCGGATCTTTGAATACCAATGTCTTTAATTTAAATATGGCGCTAACGCATATACAAACACATTATCGTATTTGATAAAAAATATATATTGCTTAGGTGGGTGGATGAGCTCACGGCTTACTTGGTTTTAAGTTGTTACCGGAGCCCATAGACATCAAATCAAACCCACAAAATCGTAATTTGCGAAAATACTGGTGGTAGGACATCTTGTGAGTCCGCACAGGTACCACCGCCCTGCCTATTTTTGCCGTGAAGCAGTAATGGTTTGAAGGGTGGGGCTGCTAAAATCTGAGACCTTACAACTCATGTCTCGAGGTGGGTGGCGGCATTTACATTGTTTAAATAGTTACAGAGGCCCGTTTGTGTTTTAACGCCATACCTAGTCAGGTCATAAATTCTGTCACATGTTTAATGTAAAATAATTGAAACAAGTTTATTCATTATGTAACCATTCATATACCAAAATGAACTTAACAAAACATAGATTCTTATGACACTAAAGTTTATTCAAAATGACCTCCGTGATTTTAATACAGGCCTTCAATCTGCGCGGCCAGTCGTCTATCGCAGTACGAACGAGGTCCATGTCAATATCGGCGGCTGCCTTAATCAAGGATGTCTTGAGTGACTCCAAATTGGGATGAGGCTTTGAGCACGTCTTTTCCTCCAAGTGTTGCCATATCTTGTAATCTAACGGGTTCAAATCTGGACTGGAGGTCCAGATAGGTATTTGCGTGTGAGCACCAAAATTGTTCACAGGAAAAGCTTACATAATAATTTTATTTCTGCAGACCGTACTAAACAAAGAAATATTTTCTGCTGTCATCTTTATTATACGTACGTACGAGTAAATGTATTCCCAAACACGTATCACACATGTCACAGTTTTATTATGTAAAGGATGGATCAACACCTGATACCGTAAATTCCGAATATTCTAGAGAATTTTGTTTGTTCCATTACGAAGAATCGTCAAAGGCGTGAATTTCTCAACACGAATTGTTTTCTGCGAATCTGTTTGCGTGTTCTATATCTATAATTGTTTATAAGCGCGCAAACTAGATTGTATTTTTTTTTTCTACTATACATTATATTGGTGAACGAGTTCTCGACCCATCTAATGTCAAGTGAAGCCTATAGACCATTCCATGAGAATGCTGCGGCAATCGATTCTGGAAACTTGACTGATGTTTACTAGAGGACGTAGTAAATCCGTGATCCCTCATCGTAATAAGCATTCCTGGATATAATTTGAAATATACAGAAGCAACTGGTCCTACTGGTGGTAGGACCTCTTGTGAGTCCGCGCGGGTAGGTACCACCACCCTGCCTATTTCTGCCGTGAAGCAGTAATGCGTTTCGGTTTGAAGGGTGGGGCAGCCGTTGTAACTATAATGAGATCTTAGAACTTATATCTCAAGGTGGGTGGCGCATTTACGGTGTAGATGTCCACGGGCTCCAGTAACCACTTTACACCAGGTGGGCTGTAAGCTCGTCCACCGACCTAAGCAATAAAAAAAAAGCAAAAAACAAACGGAGCTCAACAATCTATAATATGTATGTTTAGATGTTTGTTAGTGAATCACACAACAATGCCTAGACTTAAAATGTTTTTCTATAATAAAAATGTTTATAGCCTGGATTAAAGCATATGTGGTGGTGCGAGACTGGTGGTGGGACGTCTTGTAAGTCAGCACGGGTAGGTACTATGCCCTGCCTAATTCTGCCATGAAGCAGTAATGTGTTTCGGTTTGAAGGGTGGGACAGCCGTTGTACTGTAAAAACTGAGACTTTAGAACTCATATCTCAAGATAGATGCCATTTACGTTGTAGATGTCTATGGGTTCCGGTAACCACTTAGCACCAGGTAGGCCCTGAGCTCACCCACGTCTCGTCCCGCCTAAGCAATACACAAAAATATATATTTACTGTGTATTACCTTAGAGTATTGGATATTGGATACCTCAGAAATGTTTGTACCTAGCCTCTGTATTTGAATACGGATATTGCGTCGAGTAACCCAGGCGTGTCAGGTTTTAAGACTATGAAGACATCCATATTTCATGAAACTATATGTAAAATAATACCAAGAATCATCGAGTAATTCTGATAAGATGATTTTAAAAATAAGAAGAGTAGTAAGAAGATAGTAAATTTCTTGCGCTCGAGCTAGTAATGTGCAGTGACTATGCATAAGTGGTCCAGATAACCATGGGTTCGGTTGTCCGTATATATAGGTATTAGTACTTTTGGGTAAGATATTTGATATTAGGCTTCTAAGCGACGATTGTTTTAAGGATTTTTTTTTATTGCCCTTGTATGCAGACGAGCACACGGCCCACCTGATGGTCAGTGGTTACTGTCAGTGGTTACTGTCGCCCGTGGACTTCAGCAATGCCAGGGGCAAAGCCAAGTCGCTGCCTACCGCAATTCCAGGTCATAGTTTATGTAATATCGTAAAAAACGAATTAAATTTCATCGTACCTTAGTTCTCACTGACTTGGTAGTGAAGTAGTTAGCGATCGTGTCTGTTGCGCTAAGGGGCGTGGTTTCAATTCAAACGGACAAATATTCGGATTATTATGAACAGGTTTGTTTGCTCTATGTCTGGGTTTTTATAATCTATAAATGTATATGTATATTTAAATGTATATAACGTAAATGTCAATGTGTGGTACCTATAACACAGAAAATCCTAGTTTGGGACCGGATGACCGTGCGTGATTTGTTCCGGGTTATCTATATATTAATACGTGTAGCAAAAACTTTGTATCCCTTTTTACGAAAATTGCGCGGACGGAGGAGTATAAAATTTTCCACACTTATAGAGAATATAGAGAAAAAGTGCACAATGCTAATATTTTTTTTAAATAATACATAAAAGACACATTAAATCAATAAAGAAAACATTACAAACACTACATACCATGTATTTGACGCACACACGCATGCATACTATTCATCGTCAAACTTTTGTTCTTGACGTCTGTTGTCAAATTGAGAATAGATTAAATATTGTTTGTCTTTGTTAATATTTTTTATAACGTAGTCTTGGTGAAATTTGTGATTAATAGAAGTATAAAATACAATCATAATAGTGTACAAACTTACAATTCCAATTAATTATAGTCGAATTTCGACTACTGCGGGACTTCTAGTTTTGTTAATTAGACTTGAGGAACTGATCGAAATACTCTTTAGTATTTTATTTTATAAGGTGTTAATTCTGATGAGTCTTCGGCCCGGCTCGGCTTTGTCAATTAAAATAATGCCCTTCGCAATCCGCAAAAGAATTTTAAAATGTAATAACGTCTTTAAATTAATTTATTTAATTTGAATAAATTAGTTTTTTTTTCTGTAACGCGAAGCGGAGTTTTTCGTTTTTACAAAAGTTAATTAGACCTTCGGCCGTTTCTTGTTATTTTTTGAGTGAAATTATCAAGAGTATGGTTATTATAACGGTTTGTTCTCTTCTCTTCGAACCAGCAGGTCATTACAAAGTCATTATAAA